GCGTGAAGTGGAAGCAGGCCCATCGCGCGGCCAATGGCCGGTCGGCCGCGGGTCACGTGACCATGGCACCGCCCCCGAGGTTTTATAAGCCTGTAGGCTGCCTTAGGGCCTTTGTACCCAGTGTTGTCTTAGGCAAAACTATGCCGTTCACATGTGATGTGTCAGCATCTCCCGTTTTGGATCCCGCCGACATATTTCAACACATGAAATGCTACACATTTAGTCACTACCTCCCCACCGAAGAGGCCGCCCAGAAATTTTGCCATCTTGTGGGGCTCGTGCCACATCCTGACCTAACTGGTACCGTGTCGCTGTGCCCTAAGTGCGGAGGTAAGCATCACTTGATTCCTGCATGTACAGGAACAGCGAATATTCGTGGTAAAGCGTTTCGCTACTTTTCTAAGCCATTTCTATGTGTTTGTCTTCATTTTCAGGCAATATGCGCAAGGTACCGGCTCCACCTGAAAGGTTCGGATTCTACTACCGCTGCGAAAAACTGAACGAACAGAAAACAGTTAGACGACGGACAGGTAGCACTGTCCGGAGGGCCCTGTGCACCGGTAGCCTGTCTTCTACCCAAAATACATTTTTCGAAAGAGCAAAGCTTTCAGCTACAGAAGTATGATATTGCAGTCAATCGCGAAAAACTCTCACAAAAGCGGCGGTTTCCCAGTCCAGTATTTTTTGGTTAGCATTCTCTCTGTTAGCTGCTGTATACCAACGTTAGCAGTCGATGTAATCACTGGAAACTTCTACTTTGTAATTAGTTGCTATTTATTTACAGTGATTTTTAGCTAAGGCATGCGAATAAGAACAGTTTGATTTTGTTAAAATAATGGTACAGTTGCTGGAGCCCTGCTAACCGGAAAGTATTGTCTTTCCTGTATCACACTACGTTCAGCGTTTCTGTAATTTGATCGTGATGATGCCTTTTGTGTACAAGATGTATTTTCTCTGTATTTTACAGGCACTGAGGCTGATTTATTCGTGGGTCAAGCAGGAGCCAGTCACCATCACCGTGAATGAACGTGAGGTGGCCCTCGCGACAGCGGTAGATTGGTACAACTTCTGTCTTGAAGTTGCGGAGGTTATCGTCTCCCAAAAGCACGTTTCTGACTTTGCACGGTTCTGAAAAGTCAGAAAATGTCTATATTCATGTGCTTTCGTTTTCAGATCAATGAGACCTTCACCAGGAGGCAAAAATACAACCATGGCCGCATAGGTGTAGGCACCCAAATTACTATATTTGGTGCCTACTGTCAGGAAATGAGAGAGCTGATGTACTGGCATGTAAGTGGTAGCGAAACATTATTTTCTTTTATTTTTTTGTTATCGAGGAAGGTTCCCTGTCCGGCAGACATTGGCGCATTTTACAGGAATTGTGTTATATTTTCTCGTATTCTTTCAGGTGGAGAACAAAAGCAGATGAGTTCTGTGGAGCCACATGATCAAATACATCGCTCCAAAATTGATCATAGTTTCTGACAGCGCGGCCAGTATCGCGGTTGTACGGCTTTGGGCTTCTCCCAACATAAGATCATCAATCACAGCCGGCGGGGCCCTGGGAGGTGAGAAGGATTAAAGTGTGCTATGTGTTAATTGAAAGGTATGGACGGGCGTTATGGAGACGCGACATTTATCTTTTTCCTGTGCAGATTCGTCGACATGGATGATCCAGAGGCCCACACTCAGAACATCGAGTGTAGAAATCACTGGCTGAAGAAGTCCATCAAGTCACTCCGCACCTTCCCAGGACCTAGCCAAGGCGGGGACCAGCGGCCTCACCCCGTCCTCACCTACACAACATCAGGATCAGGCTAGGCGTCGCCAGGTAGCGAGAGGGCGTCGTGGGAGATGCAAGAGGAGATGCTGTTGAAGATGAGTGCATGATCTGTTTTCTTTCCGTTGTCAGTTAGAATGAGTTAGAGATAGCAAAATAGAAGTGTGCTTGGTATAGAGCGGCGGCAGCGGAGAAAGTGTTGCCAAATTAGCGGCAATAATCAGGCTTTTCTTTGGTCTTTGCTGATGGAAGTGTCATTAGAATACAGCTTGCTGCCTGTTAGACACATGATAGGCTTAGCAGAGAGAGAGAGAGAGAGAGAGCAAGGCGCGACTACCCATGGCGCTCCCCGGAAGTGGCGGTCGAAAGGTGGCAATCCTCATGTTTAGGGAGGTTTTGGGAGTGTCTAGTAAGTTCTAAAAAACGGCAAAAAAATGCCATGGTTTCGAGATTTAGTTCCGAAAATTTTCACTTTTGAATTTTACCCCATTTTTGAGGGTCTCAAATTTTCCACATAGTCATTTTCAGGGGCCTATACCTCACAAAGGGTTGCCCGTATGGGCATGGTTCCATTGACTTTTTTCTTCCTATCGATATGCTCTACAGTTCACTTCCAGTCTCAATATGCTATATTTGTTCTTGATTTCTGCACAGTGAGAACTTTAAGTGTGCATAGAATTGTATCTTGTGAACATAGATATAATTGTACAATTACATATATTTTTGTGGTGTATATAAACTTACTGTTAATTTGCCTCTTTGTGTCGCTTCCCCATGTGGTAATTCACCTACACCTACAATTAGTGTGAATATTAAGTCTTGCAATTTTCCACACCATCATGCACACCTCAACAGAATAACAATATAATTTACTTTTGACAATAAGAACGTTTTTCTTCTTAAAGAATTCACAATTGACATTGGGAACGTTGATGCAAAAGGAAAAATAACAAAAAAATTATTTTTTTTTTTCACTTCATGTGACTCGAGTTGTTGAGGGTATGGAGTAGTGAAATGTACATAGTCTGTGTTGATATGCTGAATTGAAGAAACGAAAAGAGGAGGGATGATAATAGTGATATTGGATGGTTGCCTGACAGCTGGTTGCAATGTGCATATTTATTGGAGAGGGACATGTGAAAAAAGGATACTCCTACAGAATTTATTTTTCAAAAAGGAGTGTATTTTGATGAAAATTGTATGAAGGAATGTATTTTGTTGAAAATTGTTTGGATATAGTTTATATATATTAATTTCAGGTTTTTTAATCATGTTTTTTATAATAATAATGTAAAAAATGGAAGAATATATTTAAATAATGTTTTTTATGTAACGTAAAAAAATAAGGAAAACTTTAATAAGTAAAATTTTTAATAGTGTTATGTGTCTGTTGAAAGAGTTGCTAAGTTTATTTGTTGAATAAACATAGGCTAGTATATGATAAGTTTGTTGTTGGTTGTGTTTGAACCAAATGTTTAATTAAATAAAAATAGATTAAGAGATAAAAGAATTCTGTTTCAATATTAAATTATTTTTCAAAGTTTGAATAAAATTTAATCTATTTCAAAGATTTAATCTATTTTTACTTGAAATATTTAATGATTACATCTTAATAAGTTATAGGTAATAAAATATACTACCTGTCTGGAATGCTGACAGTTTTTGGTACTTTCTTTATATAAAATCATATAAATTATGATGATTAAATATAATTAATGATATCAAGAAACTATGCAAAATATAAAATATGAATTTCATGACAAGGGAATGTGGATGAAAGTTTATCATCATTTAATTTTAAATATAAAAAAGAACAATATAATTTTTTTAATGTGTGATAATTTATTATTGGATTTTAATAAAAACTAAATGTTAAACAATTAATCTCATGAATAATAATCAGCCAACAACACACACTCATTGCCATAAAAATTAGCACACCAAGGAGGAGTTGTCATATTGCTGCAAAACTTTGCATGAAGATAAGCAGTTATGGTAATGATTAGAGTTATAGTGTGATGGCTCAGTGCATACTGCCAACAGAAGGCATTAAAGTGCATCCCTCTTGGTTTATAGAAAAAGTACGCAAAGGCATCCTGCAGAGGGACACTGTATCACTAGAGTTGTCTTTACGTCACAATTGAAGGCCGTATGAACAACTAACAGAGTTTGAGAGGGGAAGGATCACCAGGTTAAGAGAAATTGGATGATCATCTCGCCAAATAGCTTGCCAATTAGGCTGTTCTAACAACACTATGAGGAAGTGTTGGGACCAGTGGACAAGAGAAAGCTCACACAAACAGCACAGGCTCAGGATGTCCTTGGCAGACCACTAACCGAGAGGATTGCCTGGTCCTCCAACAAGCATGCACACAGCCAACCATATCATCTGCCATCCAGACACAGGTGGCGTCATCATTATAAGCCCCTGTATCTGTCCGTACCATTTTGAGGCACCTGGGTGAGGAACATTTGGTTTCATGGCAGCTATTACATGTGTTGTCATTGACAGCCACCCACAATCGCCTCCATTTGGAGTGGTATCACTCCTAATAGGAGTGGACTACAACAGAATGGAATTGGGTTGTCTACAGTGACAAATCCAGATTCAGTTTGGGTACTGACGATGGCCGTGTTTGGAGACTCCATGGTGGATGCCTCAATCCTGCCTATGCTTTGGAGTGGCACATTGCCTCCACAGCTGGTCTAGGGCACTAGCACATATGACATATGATCCAAGGGACCATGACAGCCCAGCAGTATGCTAGTGACATCCTGCAGCCACATGTGTTGCTTTGCAAAGCAGGGCTCCCAAGAGCCATTTTCCAACAGGACAATGATCAAACCATACACAGCAAGGGTGTCACAGGACTGCCTCTGCCACATTGCGACACTTCCCTGGCCTGCCCAATCACCTAAAAGTGGCCAACAGGTTAGAACCTCCTTTTATTTGTAGTTTTTCCTGCAATAAATGATCCTTTCATTTTGTATGCACTTATCACCATTACACTCACACATGTACAATTCTGTTTGATCCAACAACTCCTTGGTGTGCTAACTTTTATGGCAATGAGTGTATCTTACTGTTCCTGAGATTTATTTCCTGAAGATAATCAATGCAGTCTCAGTTTATAAATAAATTTTATAAACTATTATTATTTTATAATACCTTTTTAAACTGTAACTGGAAATTAAAACAGTTTGATGTTATCAAACTTACCAGATGTAAAAAACAGGCTTTCATGTGAAATATCAGAAGAGTCTGTTGTACAAACTTCTTTGATATTTGTTAATTCACTATTGCTTCTCTGTTCAAATAAAATTGTTTTAAATTAAAATTTTTTTAATATGATAAACATTTTAATTACCATAGTTTTCTTTACCTGGTCACGTCTATAAGATCTAGGAAATGCAGTTGGGAATATATCAGGTGGTACTTTTCCAGGTAAATCATTATAATAGTCAGGATCATTATTCAATGAACTTTTAAATATCAATTTTTCAAGTCTAAAATAAGAATGAATGTTTAATTTAAAAATTATTCTTGATGCTAATCTAAATGTATTTACTAGAATAATTAAAATATAGAGAAGAAATAGTATAAATTTTATTACCTGTCTGGAATGCTGACAGTTCTTGGTACTTTCTTTATAAATTGCTTAAATCTAAGTTCAAATGCTTGTCCAATGGCTGTTATTACCTTTTGTGTAATTCCTTGTTCACACTGAAGAACATAACAAGCTCGAACATTATAATGATCTTTAGCTACATATGCAATAAAGTCTACAGTTTCCTATAAGAAAAACAGAACATATGAATATTTCTCACTAAAGTTTAGCATTGATCATAATTGCAATCTGTATTCATATTAATTTTCAAGTTTTTTACTGTAATGCTATATATTGTTTATATAATACAGTAGAGCGTCGATTATCCAAATCAATTGGGGACTGGGGTTGCTCGGAAAATTGATATTTCGGATAACCAATTATGATGAAAAAATATATTAACCTATCCCATGTTGAAATTTTTCTCCGTTGCGTGTCACTTCACGTTGAATTTTCGTCGATGTTAAGCCTAACGAAGACTATTGTATCGTTAAAAATTATTTTTTTATTTTTTACAAACAAAATAAATATATTGAAAAATATAAAAACAATAAAAAATTATACTTCAGAAGTTAATTTAGTATCAAAAACGTAAAATATTTGAGTAGCCCAAGACATAGCCAAAGATTGCAGCGCCACAGCACTGGCGAAAATTTAAATTTGCCGACTGGAATTCTTTCAGATAATTGACGTTTCAGATAATTGACTTTCGGATAATAGACGCTCTACTGTACCTATTTATTTATAAAATAAAAATCTTAGATTTTAACATAATCAATTTGTAACACACATACAATTGAAGAATATTTTGTACCAGGTATGTACTGGTACGTCCACCACACATTTTATTTCACCAAGTAAGTTTTTATTATTTTATTTTTAATTGTACCTTATATTGTGGCTAGCGATTTAAAATGTAATTGTGATATTAAGAATACATTTAGAGAAGTCTACGGTTTTTACTGGCTTATCGAACAAATGATACGAATGGACCCTAGACCATCACTGATGCGCAATTAACTGATTGCCCCTAAAAGTTGGTTTTTGTAAGAAACACAGCTTCCCTATCATCAAATGTCACGGCACACTACTGCACGACAATAAGATAAATGACGCCCAATTTGGCTTTAGAGCTCAACGAGCCACTGATGATGCAATAAACAAAGTGATACAGGACATAAGAGAAGTGCTACAGGAGACCAAGTATGCTGTGGCTATAAGCTTGGACATTAAAGGAGCTTTTGATAGTGCATGGTAGCAGATTATTCTACATCAATTAAAGATAAATCATTGTCCAAGGAACTTGTACAAACTAGCAAAGGACTATTTTATGAGAGAAAGAGACAAGGTATATTTCAAATTACATCAATGTTGAAAAGACACTGGAAAGAGGATGCCCGCAGGTCTCGAAGTCCAGGCCAAGTTTTTGGATAATCCAATTTGACATCATTATACATAAAATATTAAGGAGAGGGATTAGATGTACAGCATATGCCGATGATATCATGATGGTTTGCCTAGGACATTCTCATAGGCACATTGAGATAGAATGCGGATGCCTACTGAAAGATATTGACCAGTGGGGAAAAGAGAACAAACTGCTCTTCAATCTGAAGAAACCAAATCGAAGATATTTGCTAAGAACTTTTCATCGATCCTACAAAAAAGGCCTCCAATCATTAAAATGGGAAGTGAAAAGATTGAAGTAGTAAAACACATGAAATACCTGGGCGTGACCATAGACAATAGGTTGAGCTGGAATGAGCATATAAAACAATTGAAGATGAAAAGCAATATTATATTCAATAAGCTAGCCCAGGTTGCCAACAGCACCTGGGGGGCTAAAAACAGAAGCTATGAAAGCGATATATGACAGTATGTTTATACCGATTATGACCTATGCAGCATTGGCCTGGAGTGGAAAGGCCAACAATACTATTCAAAAGAAGTGTCTTCAGCAGGCACAAAGGACAGTGTTTCTAAGGCTGATGAGATGCTTTAGAACTACTTCTACAGAGGCACTAATGGTTCTAGCAGGCAAGACACCTATCGAAGTACTGATTGAGGAAAGGGCCAAGAGGTATTGGCTAAAGAAAAATGGGGAAAATAACATGATAGATCTACCTATAGATCTAAGTAATTTTAAATGAGATGTTCCTGTCAAGAATCTGCCCCATCCAGCCAAGAGTGGTGGTGTTAATGTAATGGCTAGTGATGAAACGAATATTCGGTTACTATTCGGTATTCAGCCTATTTTTCACTATTCGACCGAATACCGAATATTTAATCACTATTCGGCCGAATACCAAATACCTAAAAACAGGAGTTATAAACAACAAAAACACAGTAAATTAATCATTTTGGTATTTAGAGTTAATGTTATAGAGTTAGTGTTGTATTTATTTATAACTTGTAACATGCACAAAACAAAAAAGAAAATAATATTAGTCACATGTATTCACAATTTATAATTACAAAGATCAGCACACGTACACGTCTATCGTTGGAGAATCCTCGCACATCTGAGGGTCTGACCCTTCCTATCCTTCTTTTTAAGCACTCGTCTTTGCTTTTTCCTTTCTCTTTCCTCTATCGCTCTAATCCATGTATGCCTGTGCATACATCACAATACGCGCTCACGATACTTTCGATTCATCACTTTTCCATCGTAGAGTTCCCATTTTACAATTACGTGACTCAGCCTGGTGATAACGGAGAAAAGAGACAGATAGGACGTAGATGTAAGTCACAGTTATGATTTCACAGATTCGAGACAGCTTGATAGCCCAAACGGCCCCAGGCTTTCGCCCGTGCACGCTAAGTGACTTTCATTACAAGCATTTAGCTTTCCGAAGTCTATGACAACAATTGTTTGGCATTGACGGCCGCGAATTTTGCGCCAATAAGCTGCTTCGACTCGTTCGATTATGTTATCGACTCAATTTCATATTTATTTTCACATTTTCACTTTGCGGTCCTTCTCTGTTCTTTCTCTGTTATTTACACGTGTAGGACATTTCATTGTTATCCACATTTGATATCATCACTTATCACATACTGCCACGATGCTCATGTCTGTCCGCTTCAACTGTCAAGAATTAACGCGATTGTCGAAGCGTAGTGACAGCAGGCTAATAGAGAGCAGGGTCCTTGCCATAATGCGGTTTGCGCGCCAATTTTCATACATGTGATAACCGAGCCGAATAGTTTGGCCGAATATACGATTCGTTACAACACTAGTAATGGCTGATAACCCAATTAGGACGAATATATACACAGATGGCTCCAGGTCAGAATCTGGGACCAGGGCCAGTTATGTTGTTTATGAATGCAATGAAGAAATTCATAATGACAAGTTTACGTTGGAGTTGTATTGCTCCAATTATCAGGCCGAGCTATTGGCCATTGATAAGGCAGTGGAATGGTGCATAGAAAACCAAAGGAAAGAAGGAGTCTGTATTAATACAGACAGTTGGAGTGCTCTACAAACCCTAACTGATAGAAGATCCACACATCAGCAAGTGTTCAGGATACAGACTAAGTTAAGGGAAAATGGTTTGATTGAGAAAATTCAATTCAAATGGGTCAGAGCACACACTGGTATGATAGGAAATGAAAGATCTGATCAATTGGCTAAAGAGGCAACAAACGGGAATGATAAGGTGTTTCACACTATCCTGAAATGTTGGGGAAAGAAGACACTTAGGGCTCAAACAATAGAAAAGCGGCAAGATATGTGGACAAATAGCATGAAAGGCTGTAAGACCTTTGAATTCCTTCCAAATGTAGAGGAAAGACTCTCCCATCTCAAATGGTTCAGGAACTTTCTCCTGAACCATTTGAGATGGGAGAGTCCATTCTTAAACATAATTAAACATAATTAAAGTCCATACTTAAAGTACCTAAAGCCCCATTATGTGTTAACAGTGTGGGGAAGACTGATCTCTGATGATAATTCCCAATGGGGGAAAAACTTCGATTACTGAATTCCCAACCATTATCTGAATGCAATATGGCTGGGACACCAAATGTTAAAAATATTTGAAGGTGATATGCTAGTTCTTCAGCTGTCTTAATTTTTAAAGGTCATAACTGGACAAACTTTGTTAACTGGTCTAAATGTTCTTGATATACCATTATGAACTTGTAATCACCATCCCTGTGAGCTATCTACTGCAGGTCTATCAGATCAATTTGACAACTTGAGTTTAACTCCAAACTGACCATTGGTTTCACAACAATACCTTTTTAGGTGCACTATGTTTCATTTGACATTGTTTACATAAATTTAAATACAACATTGCAACTTCATATGTAATATTTTTGTATTTAACTTGCAATTCTTAAAGCATACATGTTCTTCCTCCATGGCCTTTCTGAGTTTTGGATAGTATACTGAGCAATTCATTATTGGTAACATAATGCTGTATATTTGTTTCTCCTGGTTTTAATGGCACAATTAACTTCTCTTTATGATTAATTTTTAAAATGTCAAAACATTTTAATCATCTGTAATCCAAAGGTGTACTGCACTTAGTTTTAGCAGAAATCACTTCAGAAAGCATATAAACAATTGTCTTCTCATTTACTCACAATTAATAATGCACATAACTTTTCAAAAAAAAAAAAAAAAAAAATTACGGTTCACTGCAGGAGCCATTCAATATAAATTATGGCATTGGATTTTAAAATAAAAGTTAAGCAAACATTGCACGCACCAGCAAACCTTGCATAAGACTGACAAACAGAAGTGTTCAAGAGTATAACAAATAATGTCATGTGATCTCAATCGTGGCAGAGGATTTGGTAAGAGAGAACAAATGATTTGGCATTTTTTTGCTTCTCTCTAGCTGACACAGCTAGAGAGAAGCAAAAAAATGCCAAATCATTTGTTCTTGGCTTGTCATTTCAACTTCCACCAAAGCTTAACTGTGCTTGTCAACATATACTGGCAATCAGGGCCAGATCATCGCATAGACAAATGAGACAAATGTCTAGGGCCTGGTTTTCAGAAGGGCCCGATCAAACTGTCTATTTCGAAAAGATTTGTAAATAAGATAGTTTTCTTTTCTGTTGAACAACAATATATAATAAACAAATAAACAAAAATATATTGCTTTATATATGGTTATTGTGAATTCTAAAATCTAAAGAAAATGTCCCGAACTTTTTGTATAGCGCACCT